CATGACCAACCCTTGATCAAATGATGAATGTGACTTCAAAATCTTGATGTTGACCAAAAATCTTGAAGTTTGACTGTATGTTGACCACAGTTGACTTTTTGTCCAATGTAGTTGATTTTCAGTCATCTGAGCAGTTGACTGAGCAAACTTGTGATGCAAGGCTTGAAACTTGGCATGAGCATTCTTGGACACATATAAGAAACCATGAAATCCACTTTAGGCCTTAGAAACTTAATATTACCTTATAAAATTGAGACCCTAGTTGTAGGTCCATCGCTTAGGAGAAGAATTTTTCTGATCAATTCTTGAGTAACCTTGAGCAAATGAAAACCCTATGAGCATGAAGAGATATATTGAATAAAATGAGAGGGAAAATTTTGGGGTACAACAACTTTACATTCTGCACTTTATTTTTCTGTACATATTTAATTTCTAGTAACTAGGGTTTGTATGGAAAGACTAATAATTGAACGTAGAAAACCCTAATTCTCAAGATAAATAACTGAAATCAATACACTCTTCACACTTGCACATCTAGGGTATCCTTTCTTGTTGCCTTACGATATTGGTCACGTCCCTCGAAAGTGGGGATACTTTAGCAAAAGACCCTCGATCAAATTGTTATAGTCCCTTACGATCATAATCCATCGATGACCCTTCGAGCTGCCTATAAAATGATATAGTCCCTACGAACAAAATGATGATAGTCCCTCCGATACCATTGCTAAAGTATCCTTACATGTTGCCTTCGATGACTATACGATGACTCTACGTTTGTTCCTTCACATCCAATAGATAGGGCTACCTACCAACTAAAGGTATGGATAGTACTATCTCTAAAGGAGAAGGAAAAGAATAAGAAAGACCATATTTAGTGGGTAAGAACTCCTAATTGTTTGCTCATAACTTTTTTCACAAACATTTTTCACTATAATTTCAACCAATATTTTCAAAAAACACTTTGTACACATTCTTGAGGACTGATACAAGAATCATTACAAAGTCAGCCTTACATTGGTGATTTCAAAATATTTTCAAATAAATCACACACACAAAGCAAAGTTTTTCAAAAGTGAGCTAAGTAATTAAGAGCCCGTAGATAACTACAAATGAAAAGGGTGATAACACCTTCCCTTTTCATAACTTACCCCCTGAACTCAAAATCTATCAAAGGTCTTTCATGTTCTTTTCACCTTTACTAAATATTGGATAAAAGAAAAGTCAGTGGCGACTCTTGTTATTCGCACATTTGGATAAAACAAAAAAGTCAGTTCTCCTACCGTATTACACATTCTAAGTACCCTAATGAAAATATGCACATAAGAACTTAGAGATATCGTCCAATATACAGAAATGCTAAAGTTATCCTAGTTTTAGCATCACACAAAACATCTAACAGACAAGTGCACTCACACATAGTTTTCTGTCCTACAAACAATCTTACACCAATTTACATCATTTCTTCAAATCTCACATCCCTATAATTTAAGACATTATTCTCTAAAATGGATATCTTAAACTGTTTAAATGAAGAAAACTCCATTCCAACCTTGAAAGTGAAATTCTTAACAAAAGCATCTTCTTCATTGAATCTAATTACACTAGGCATATCATCACACTTTTCATCATCTGCCCCATTGTCAAGTTCATCAATCATGCAATATTCTTCAATTATATGTTCCATACTCATTTCTTGTGTTATAAATAATTTGTTTGGTGGTTCAGTTCTGACATCACCATTACCCACATGTGGAGCTCTAGATTGGCCTCCACCCATACCTACATCAAAATGTTAATCAAACTCATTCATCCTCTCCTCATCCTTATCATTAAAATATACACCATTCATTGATTCATCACTTTATTCACTAGAATTAACAACCTCCTCGTCACATTTTCCCCTTCATTTTCTCTCTAACTTTATCCTAAAATCAATTTCTTATGTAAGAGGTTTAGGCTCATATAAATTTCTACTTCACAATTATTTCCAAATGCAAACACAACTAACTCATATGCATCTCAATCATCCCTAAAGGATTTTAAATCTTCATCCAAACTACCACCTTCATGTTTCCACCATATTTTCATAGCCCTAACATCAAACTCAAAATCAATCCCCTTGATTAAGTCACAAGCTTCAAAATAAGACCAATAATTTGGATCTTGACCATTATATGCATAAATATCCTCACCCTCATATCTTAAGTTGGGGTCTTTTATAAAAGAACCATTTATGTAGAACACTAACTTAAATAACCTCATATCATGTACATTATGCTTAAGGTCGGATTTTTACTACTTAGATCAAATACGTTATACACATACACAGTCAAAGTACACACAATATTTTGCATGTAAAGACACACTCTAAAAATAACTCAAAAAATGGCCCATATTAAACATTAATTACCCTAAACTCTAAAAATTACTACCATAAAAGTGATGGATCACTAAATCCTAAACTAATACTCAATATAGAAATGTCAAATTAAGTATAAAAAAAGTGAACATGTTTGATGTTGACCACAAAATGCGCTTTCGAAATGCCTATTTTGGACCACCACAAGCTTTCAGTATAGAGAATGTGACCACCACAACAATAACTCAACACTTTTTCCCTTTCCTTCGTAATAGGCTTCAAACGAAAGAGATGAGCCAGAAGAACCATAACAGAACAAAGAATAATGCAAAAGAAAATGAGACCACAAGAACGCATAAGAACATAAGGTTTCAAAAGGTTGTTCAAATAGTGTAAGCTGAAATTGTTAATGAAGAATCTTTTGTGACTTTTGATTTACTAACTTAATAGAAATAATCTATTTTTTAATCCATGTTGGACAAGTCAATATCAGCCAAGCTACAAAAGTCAAGTCATGTGTGCTGCAACGTCAGTTTCTGTTAATAAATATTAATGAGAGAGACTAAATTTTCAGACGGAAAACATTCATAGAAATTAAAATTAAATAATGTTCTATTTATATAGAGACCAAAAACATATTTAACTATTTTCTTTTTTGGTAGAGAATGTTTTGTATGAAGATGTTGATATTATAATTTGAAATTTTTTATTTTAAGTTTGGTACACGAAGATGGAAGATAAAGATTAGAAAAGATAAAAATTATTAAGATTTTAAAATTTTTAAAAAAATTTAAATAAAAAAATTATAATAATTTTATTAATTTGTACAAAAATATATTAAAAAATAATTAAAATAATTGCTAAGGATGTGTAGAATAATATATCAATATATTATTATATAAAAATATGAGAAAGAAAAATGCACTGATAATATATATTTGGGTTAAATATATTTTTTGGTCCTTATAAATATTTTAAATTTGACTTTTATTCCTTATAAAAAATATCACGTTTTAGTCTCTATAAAATTATTTATGCATGACGTTTTAGTCATTCTACAAGGACTAAAACTACATGCATAAATAGTTTTGTAGGGACTAAAACGTGACATTTTTTATAGAAATTAAAAGTCTAATTTAACCATTTTGTAGGGATCAAAAATATATTTAATCCTATATATTTTTAAATTAATTGTGTGATATGAGTGAATAATAAATTTTTATTAGATAATAAAATAAAGTGTTAAATATATTTTTTATCGTTATAAATATATCAAATATCAGTTTTAGTCCATATTAAAAAATGACATAATTTATTTTTTATAAAAAACTTATTTATGCAGTTTTAGTCCCGACTATTTTCTAAAATTTTGAAAACTATTTAATTATTCTTAAATTTTTAAATTTTTGAACAACTTTTTTCATACGTGTTAAGAATATTATAAAATATTTTTTATCAACTTTTAAATTTTTTAAAAAAGAGATGAATTAAATATGAAAATTTTAAATTTTAAAAAATATTGATGAAAGTAATGAAAATCTCGACTTAGAAATTAATTTTTGAGTTCTTTTTTTTCGAACAATATTTTATAACGTTCTAACCATGTCTGCAAAATAATCATTTAAAAATACACAACAGTTTAACGGTAGAAACTAAAACTACATGCACAATAGTTTTGTAGGGATTAAAATATGTCATATTTTTTTATAGAGACCAAAAATAAAATTCGATAATTTATAAAGACTAAAAACATATTTAACCTTAAAATAAAATTATTTTACATCATCAATACTCTAAATCTAAAAAAAAAATATAAAAAAATAAAATCTATAAATATTATTCTCTCTGCTTTTATTATAAATCATTTTGAGAAAAAAATTATTCCACGATATAAGTCACTTTACAATATTAATAAATAATTAATACTATATTTTTATATTTTATCTTTAAATATTTATTATTTTTTCTTTTATATACCACGAAAAACAATTTTATAAAAAAAATTTATAATTTCTCTTTTTTATACAATAATTATTATTTTTTTAATATATGTTAAAAATCTAAAACGATTTATAATAAAAAAAACAGATTTAATATAAAACTTTTAACATATTTTGTAATTATTAAATGACTAATACCACCAACAATTCATCACAAATCATAATGGGAAATTTATATATGGAATAAATGATCTCCCCAACCAACCAAAAATAGCAAAAGTTGACATAAAACAAAAAGTACTAGTAAGGCTGAATTAGAAAAAGAAAAATCATCCAAAAATAAATAAAACGAAAACGTAGCAATTATAACCAGAAATTAAAAATACCAATCTGTCCAAAAAGAAAAAGAAAAGAAAAAGCAAAGAAGATAAGAGCCAGGTCATGTCATGATGTCTCATACTTACCTATCATCTATCTTTCTCAATCTCTAATGACAATGCTTTGCACCTGCATTTATAATAATCACCTCCCTAATCTCTCCAAAATCACCTTTTCCCAAACCAGTTATCCATTCTTTATGTAACCCAAACGAACCTCAAAACGACGTCGTCGTCAAGGTGTTCAATTTTAATTTTAATTTTCTCGCTGATTATATAATTTTCCGTTTTTTTCCTCTATTTTGCGGAAGAAAAAAAAAGAAAATGATGAGAGGAAATCAAGATCAACAATCGAAGATCATCTACGAATTATCGTCTCTGGTTTTCAACCTTCTACAGTTTCCGCCGACGCCGGTATCTTTTTCCGATCGAGCTCCGATCATGCCGGTGCCGCCTTCGGTGTCGTCGTTGAGGCGTTCGATGGCGGCGAGTCAGATAACGCCTGCGGGGTTCGTTTCGTTGCTTTTGGGGATTTCGATGTCTCTGATGTTGTGTGGTTCGGTTACGTTCGTGATTGGGTTTATGTTGTTGCCGTGGATTCTTGGTTTGGTTTTGGTGTTTTATGTTGTTGGTGTTGTTTCGGCTATTTCTGTTTTTGGTCGGTCCATTCTTTGCTTCGCTTCGCCGCGTAAGAGTTATCCCGGTAAGAAACAAGAGATTGTATTGATTTCTTGATACAAATATTTATATCAAATATTGAACCAAAGACAACACACAAGTTTCAAAGTGTAGGCATGTATAATTATTTTAGAATATAGAAGGGATTGCATGTAATTACTTGGGGTTGGTGCTATATAAATCATCACTTGATTGTTATAATTTGTTAGCAATTTGCATTAGCCTTAACAAGTGTAAAATGCTCAAAAGGAAAAGCCACAAGTGTAAAATGCTCCCCCGAATTGCCCTAACAAACATCTGAAATTGATGTCAACACTTGTGATTATATTTAATTTATTCATTTTTTTCAAATTATTATTTGTGTTGGCGTGTCAGTGTTAATGTTGTGATTATGGTGTTTCTTTGAAAAAATCACCTTTAGCCTTCGGTAGTTCTTGTAGTTTGAGGATTGAATCTTAATTTCCATGTTCAAGCTCCCATCAAATTGGAAAAAAATTGGAAAAAAGTTGTTGAGTTGAAGTTATACATACACATGTACATGTTTCTCTTCTTTAAACTCAAGACATGTATTGCTGCATGTTAGTAGGTTGATGTCATGCATCTCCATTGCAGAAGGTGTGGTGGAGATAGCGAAAGTTTTAGGTTATTGTAGTTTTTGTTTTACGATGGATATTCGATATGGGCGAGAACTTCATTTTTTTTATATGCGTGAGAACATCATTCTCCACACTTGACAGGTCTAGGTTCAAATTATTTTGCGAGTAAATTGAGTAAGGTCTTGATGAATACCGAAAGAAAAAAAAAAGATGTTTGTTGTTTTTTCCAATCAAAGAAAGGGTATGCATTATTAGTTTTTAAAGCTTTTGATTTGAAAATCTAACTTCAATAGTCCTTATAGAAGCTGGCTCAAATAAGATATTGGCATAGTTTTCAATAAGTTTCAATGTTAATTTCTTCATTTCTGGTATTTATTTTAAATGTCTGGCTTATATTTTTTATTGCATCATTCTGTTATGTTGGATCATGAACCCGACACCATCACAGATTGTTTTGGCTGTTGCAGAGTGGAAATTGTTATGAACTAACGATTCAGATTTGGTGCCTGCTCATGCACCCTATAGAGCAATGAAGATTATAGAACTGCTCATGCACCATATAGAACAATGAAGATGACAGAACTGCTAATGCACCCTATAGAACAGTGAAACATTACAGAACTTCTCTTACTAGAAGCAGGAGTAATGGAAAAAGCCCTTTTTTATGTAAGTTACCATAATTTGTGGGTATGGCTTCTCTGTTAATATCAATAGTGATGTAAAATTCTAAAGCTCTAAAAATAGAGGAGTCATTTCCCCCTTTTGCTTCTTTCAATTGTTTTTATCTATATCTATCTATTGTAACATCTGTAAATTATAGGTTTTTTAGGATTACCTTTCTTACATTTCCAAACATGTCATATGTACAATGTATAAATAGGTTTGGCGAATCATAAACTACCAAAAAGTTAGAAGTTAAACAAACTTGATAAAATTAACCTTGATAATTATTAGTCAAAAACTTATTGCAGTACATAATAAATTAGGAGTAATTAAAAATTTAGAAAGTAGTAATTGTGAGTTGAAGATCAAGGTCCGCGTATGAGAAAGAAAAGAAGAAAGCCATCCATCATCCTTAGTTACATATTGTGAAAGTACAACTCAATTTAAACAAGAATATATAAAAATGAAAACACTAAGAACAGAAAAAAGCAACTAATAATGCCACATTGATAGGGGATGATTAGATTATCCTGAATAGATATGGACACCAATAGCAAGTAGAAAAATGGTGATGAGTCCAAAGAAGATGATGGTGTGGACCAAGATAGAGATACCACTTGTTTGCATGCTTCCAAAAGCTACCACCCTTCCCTTAGCAGGTAACTGGAAGAGTAGTCCTGGACTTAGTAGAACAAATAGCACCACTGATATCACCACCGGACCCCAATCAGCAGCCATCACTTTGCACAATTTGCTAGCTCCTTTTTTCAACAAAATTTAATTAATTGCGACTATCTATGTGACTCTTTGTAAGCTTGTTAAATAGGAAATTATAAGGCGATTCTTATCTGTGTGTGAGGCAACTGATTGAGGGTAATAGAAGCAAGGAATGAATGACAGCCCAAAAAAGAGCATCAACAAAAGTAATAAAGAGAACTAGTTTGTGACCATGAGGTTCCTTGTACACATTTAGATTCCAACAGTTCAAACTTTGATTATTTTTTGTTGGTATAAATTCAAACTTTGATTTTACTGGTCCTTTTTTTATACTTTCTCTCGTCCATTTATAAGAATTAATTCTTTTTATTTATTTATTTAATAACTAATGTATCTGATTTATATATTATTTATATATATTATTTATTTAATTTATTTAAAAAAGTAAAAAACAAAAATTTATAAATAATATTGGAGATAGTATATAAATTATGTCTAATTTTATTTGAAACAGGCATATCAAACATTTCAAATAATTTAGTATAAATTATTATTATTATTATTATTTATTTTTATAAAAGTTGAGTAAATATTTTACATCTCTATGTTGATTGAACCTGAAAATGTAAAAGAATTGAAATTTAGAATAACATTCAATGTGATGTACACTCTATCTAGATTTGATTATTTGTGAATATAGTGAATGATGATGTACACTCTCTTATTTAGATTTAATTACACAACGGTGACAATTGAGAATATGTGACGTTTCTTTTTTTAAGAGTTTCACATCGAATAATATAATATATAGTTTGAATATTTGCTTATAAATAAGGGCAATTTTCACCTTGTAAGTTAATTTTGTAAAATTGAGTTAAGCCTTATTACTATCTTTCTTTACATATATCAAGAGTCTCATTTAAGATTCGAGGGACCACTTATTATTAGATTTCTGCTATCAGGTCACCCACCATTTATTTCCACGCTTTAAATGTCTAGTTTTGGACGTGAGGGAGTGTGTGAAGAGTCCCACATCGGATAATATATGATTTGCACATGTGCTTATAAGTGGGGACAATCTTTACCCTACAAGTCGATTTTATAGGATTGAGTTAAGTCAAACTATATTTTTTAATAATTTTTTGAAAGCACATGAATAATAGGTGTTTGAAAGAATCCAACAATGAGTGACCAAACAGGTTTCAAAGACTGAAACATTCAATAAAGGTGGTGGGTGGCTCAAAGTGGAAGGAAAATGACAAATTCAAGAAAGGGGGATTTCAGCTAAAAATTCAAGAAAGGGGGATTTCAGCTAAATAATTCTAAAAAATATGATCTATATAAATCTTCTTTAAGAAACGCTAGCAAAAGGTCAAAAGAGAAAGAAACCAATGAACAAGAATGACGTTTAATGCTATAAATGATAATAAATTAGAGACTTTTTAGATGTGTAGGAGAATACGTGTTCCCAAGAACACATGAAATGCAGAGAATGAGACACATATGACTCGAGGTGAGATTGACCCAGACTTAAACCATATCTTCCTTATGGCAACAACAAGTGGTCTTTATACACTTAATGTTTAAAACACATGGCAATTAATCAAAAGTGACTAGTCAATTTTGATGATTTAAGAAAGATGGAGATGATATTTGTTCATAATAGAATCATTGCACCAGAGAGAGTCGATGATGTTTTGAACAAAGGTGGACTGTTGGGGGAGTTACTAGGAGCATTGATACAAAATTGAGGATTAGGCAACTTCGTGAGAGGCACACCACTCGTCCACCTAAAACCTTAATATGATAGGTGAATGGATTTTTCCACTTATATATGCTCAAGTCTCCATATTTCTATTCACTGTAGGACTATTTCCTCACTTACTCACACTCACACTTGCATTATTATTCTAACACTCCCCCTCAAGTGTGAGTCCCCAATAATCCCCTACTTGTGCCGCCATTGACATCTTGCAATGGAACACCTCTTCTTGGGCATTTAAATACAAGTAAGTCGGTCCCTTTCTCGGAACCTCTTCTTGGGCATTTCAATACAAGTAAGCTGGTCCCTTTCTCGGAACCTCTTCTTGGTCATTTCAATACAATTAAGTCGGTCCCTTTCTCGAAATCAAAGGCTCATGATATCATTTGTTGAAGGGAGTTACTAGGAGCATTGATACAAAGTTGAGGATTATGCACCTTTGTGAGAGACACATCATTTATCCACCTAAAACCTTAAGGTGATAGGCGAGTGAATTCTCCTACTTATTTATGCTCAAGTCTCCATATTCCTATCCAATATGGGACTTATTTCCATACTTACTCACACTTGCATTATTATTCTAACACTCCCCCTCAAGTGTGAGTCCACAATTCTCTTCCACATACACTTGTACTGATGTTGTCTCTTCTTGGGCAATTCGATACACCTCTTATTAGACATTTGTTAGGGGGAGCTACTAGGAGAATTGATACAAAGTTGAGGATTAAGCAACTTTGTGAGAGACACATCACTTGTTCACCTAAACCTTAAGGTGATAGGTGAGTGAATTCTCCCACTTATATATATATATATATATATATATATATATATATATATATATATATATATATATATATATATATATATATATATATATATATATATATACGCTCAAGTCTCCATATTTCTATCCAATGTAAGACTATTTTTCCACTTACTCACATTTGCATTATTATTCTAACAAAGACAAGGAAACCAAACACAAATGATTTGGTGTATGTTCGAATCATGTTGTGTAACTTGTTGAGTATATGTCAATTGCTTTATAAGAGGCTTACCATGTATCTTGCCAATAATCATATGGATGTCTCTCTCTCTCAATGTATTCTCACTGTCTTGCTACTAAAATGCTTGGAGATAATGTGTGGTTCATCTCTCTCTCTCTCAATATTTTCTCAGTGTCTTGCTACTAAGATGCTTGGAGATAATGTGTGGTTCCTCTCTCTCTCTCAATGTCTTGCTACTAAGATGTTTGGAGATAATATTCTCTCTCAATGTCTTGCTGCTAAGATGTTTGGAGATAATGTGTGACTTTGGAACCTTAGATATGAACACAAAGTCTTTGTATTTTAAAGTCAAAGGAAGTAATACATGGTTTGTCTAGAATCAGTTGCCTATAGATGTGTACAAAAGTTGCTTAATAGACGAGCAATTAAAAAAATCATTGTGTTGCAGATTTCAATAAAATATCAAGGTAAATTTGAAGTGATACGTATTGATCTTTGTGGTCTCTTTGACACAATGTTACTAGAAGAAAATATATATACTTTACTTCTTTTATGGACGAGTTCAATGGAATGGTATGGGTTTATCTATTCAAAATAAAAGACGAATTCTTTTAAGTTTTCAAGAGGATTAAGAGGCAACTAAACATTTTTAGTGTATGTATGATTCCACATTTAAACTCCTCCTAATTGATTGTAGATGTGTATAATTGATTTTAATATGTTTGATTGCTCTCAAGTAAAATTGATTATATTTTACCGAATTTATTCTATTTGAAATTATGATTTGTAGCTTTTGAATTTTGCATGATTTTTACATAGCGTAGGTTCATACAAGTTATACTATCTAGTCACCTGGGGCTTGGGAATTGTTGCAGCCAGAGATGTTATAATCAATGAATATGAATGTTGAAATTTGACGAGTCGTGCTATTGAATTATCTGTAAATGTGTCATTTATATTCCATGATAACTAGAGTGAGCAAGAGGTGGTATACAAGTAGAGCAAGCGAGAAGATCGTAAAGTATTAGAGGGATGAATGATTATCATCTTGAATCTCACGATGTAATACACATTTTTTGCAAAACTATTTTAAAATATTATTAGTTAAAAAATAAGCACATTGAATTGAATTCCTTGCTTGCAAAGTACACAAAATACGCCGGTGGAAGTAGAAGTTGAAACAAACAGCCAATTGCAAATAGCAGATGAAACAAGTTATTCTTAATCCTAAATCAAAGCATCCATCACATGCAGAAGCACAAAATCATGAAGCATTTAGAATCTGCAATAGTATTTATAAGTAACAACAATAATAGGCTCATGCATTCATCACTAGTGTCTGTTCTACTATTTTGTATACACAAAGAAACATAAAACATGTCGGATTGGGGCCCAGTGTTTGTTTCGATTGTGCTATTTGTTTTGTTGACACCAGGATTGTTGTTTCAGTTACCTGGACGGTCGAGATGCGTTGAGTTTGGAAACTTTCAGACAAGTGGTGCTTCAATACTCATTCACTCTCTTCTCTACTTTGGTTTCGTTTGCATTTTCTTCATCGCTATTAAGATTCACTTGTACCTAGGCTAATTCAACAATTAATTACTTTATTATTGTGTTATCCTTTCTGTATTCAGTTTTCTTTTGATTCAACCAATGGATTCTAATACTTTCTTTGATTTTAATCTAATCATCTTTATTGTAACACTTATTACATTAATAATGTATAACAAAAACTCTTTATATATTTTAAATTTAAATTTTATTTTTTGAGATTTTTGAGATATAAATTCATTTGTTAATTTATTGTAATCAATTTTATTAATTATTTTTTACAATTAATAAAAAAACAATTCATTTAATTTTTGGTTATTTTTAATTTTAAAATAGATCAGATACATTATGTGATCTCTTAAATAAGTGTTTTAGCAAGCTAGCTTTTAATATATTTTTTTTTAATAAGTGTACATATGCTAAGTACAATGGAGGATATCAAATGCTTGCCATAAGATCTACAAGAGGATTTTCTAAATTCTGATCTATGAAAGTGTGAATGAATGTTTAAGTTGTGTGGCTGGATATTTATAGATTTAATTCCTTGGTTAAGTGGTTTCTACGAAGGTTGATTTAAGTGCATATATATTTGATTACGCACCCACTAGCCTTGATCAAATAGTAGAAGTGAGCTGAACTAATCATCTCTCTTAATAGGGAGTGCAGTTAGCCTATAAAATTTGTATTGAATTTAATTACTTTTCGAATACGTGGCTTGACACGTTCTCTCATAATCCATGACGAAAGCGTATTGGGATGGGTCAGACGATCCACGACTGAGATGTATCGGGTTGGACCAAACAAGATTATCTATTCACCACTTCATCTCCTTTTTTGCGTTCATGCTCTTTGTAACACCCTAATTCCGATATGCAATTTACAAAATAAATTAGAATATTTTTCACCCAAGAGTTACACATTCTCAACATAATACTTATTACATCAATTTAAACATATCACATGGGAACTCAACAATTAAAACATCACACTTCAATTTATCATCTTTAAAATAAAGCATTTGGTTAAATAACATAACCCAACAAAACATTAATCCAAACGAAAAAAAAATGATTCATTCTCATATATTATAGATCAGAGCAATCTCAAACTAAATAACAAAAACCGATAAATAAACGAAGAAACCTTCACGACCATCTTCCGACTCACATCAGCAATTACTTCTTAAGAGTATATGTATTACATCATACAGAACAACACAAACAGACAAAGAAATGGGTGAGAATACACTCAAATATATAAACGGTGTAAAAGAATGCAATGATAGCATTACATAACACAATCATCAAATACACAATTTATGCACAACAACAACCAATTCACAATGTCTTTATGTATGCAATGTGACTCATAAACTCGACTCAATGCATGTGATACCAATTTAGACATCAGATGTTTGTTACTGATCTCGTCCACTCAATAATGGTTTCTCATTCAAACCGGGTCCCCATTTCTGAATCTCTAACTTATCATTGGTCCCCACTTCTGAACCGAAGACTTGTAACACCCTAAAACTCCAACACGAAAAAAAATTGCAAAATAAAATAGAAAATAAAACAAATATTTACATTTAGCGTGTCACGCATCTCATGACAAACTTTTTATGTAACACTTAAATAAAATCATATAATTTAAAAACACTTGTCATAACTTGCTCGCTTTTACTTAGGCTCATCGCAGCGAAATAAATTAACAAGCATAACTCGTCAAGTAAATAAGTCACATAATAACTTATAATTGAAATTAAACGCAATTATGGAAAAAGCCTTCAACATCAAAACAATTCAAAACATCAAGAATTATAACATCTAACTCTCGCAACAAAAACTCATAATAAAATAATTCATAAATGTTTGTCTTCCCGATATTACAGAACCAGAGCAATATAAAACCACTAAAGAACGATAACGAATAAAAGTAAGCACCAACAAGCTATATTCCTCTAACATCAATGAAACTTTATTCTTAATTATCTGCAAGATGTCCATGATGGACAATATTAAGCAAAGGGGGTGAGAAATAAACTTCGATATAAAAATGGTGTAAAGAATGCAAAGAGTAGCCTAAAACAAAGATATCATCTTTCATACAATTCAATTAAATCAAATAGCATAACTCATATGCGTTAGCCAAAGCAACTCAATTTCGCAGCAACATCAAAATACTCATTTGCACAACCTTTATGTAATGCAATATAGACAACAACTTAACTCATGCATGTGGTACCAACTCAACAAAAGTTCTTCAACCGAACCGAGTCCTAATATCTGAACCTCAAGCCCTCTCATCTGATCTCCAAGCCCTCCCATATGAGCTTGGGATAAGCCATAATCCCATCATCTGAATTCATGACTTGCCTCTTTCATAATAACAACAACATATGATGCATGTCATACAAGTCAATGCAACAACAATAACAATGATTAAGGTTCCTCTTCTGGTCGTAAACAAAATGCATTGGCAACACAATAATAGTCTCTTAATTTGAACTACTATCCAAAAATCCTAACAATAACATTACATAATTAATCACCATATAATTATGTACATACAGCATATGATAATATTCATAACATATCACTAAAAACACATTTACATCATTGATACACAACTCAACAACAACATTTAGATAACTCAATTATTATCCAATCATTTGTAATAATCCACCACAATATAATTATCACATTTATGCACACTTCACATAATCAACCACACAAACTCATCAAATAGCAGAATTGATTTAATCATAATCACATATATAATATAACATACAACCACTAGTGCAGGAAATACTTTTTACATCGGGCAAAAAGTACATTTTACATCGGGTCTGGGTCCAATGTAAATCCAAGTGATGTAGTAAATTAAAGATATTTTACATCGGGCAAAAGCCCGATGTGAAAAATCCACATACCACATCGGTTGAATGTTAGGTCTGATGTGAAAAAAATACAATTTAAAAAAAATGATTTTTAACACCTGTTGGCTCAACGGCCCGATGTAATATATATGTTTTAACATCGGTTGCCTAAATGGCCTGATGTAATATGTTTTCTATTTTTTAGCGGAGTCGAGGTGGATTCCCTGTAATTTTTTTTGATACCTAATTTTTCAGATTTTTCCAACATCACACAGACCACATTTAGGTCGCTATTTTTCATATTTTTTTCACATCACACAAACCATATTTAGGTCGCTATTTTTATATTTTTCTAACCTGTGAAGGGTAATTTTATTGCACCAAATAGTTAGGATGTACATATATATTCTTCAAAATGAACAATTGATTTATAAAAGTACTAATGTAGGATACATACAAGTGTATAAAATTATAAGGAAGTTTACACACGGTGGACTACTACAACAACAAAACCAGTGAAATTATACAAAAATATCCAACCATTTATTAGTCTCTTCCCACACTTAAAATACCAACATACAATCCACAAGAAGATGAGTTGTAGATTCAGTAGACAACACCAAAATTAGATTTGTTGACAATAAGTAATAACACCAATTAACATCAGCAGAAAACACCAAAATTAAGAAACTCAAATTATATATATATATATATATATATATATATATATATATATATATATATATATATATATATATATATATATATATATATATATATATATATATATATATATATATATATATATATATATATATATATATATATATATATATATATATTTGATCGGCCAAAGATAGGTATCCACCGGTTAATTATATATATTTGAACATTTATAATTAAAACAACAAATTTTACATAAGTTCTGATTAAACCAATGCATAGATAAATTATAAATTTTGACATGACCATACTTTTGGGTCTTAAGCAACAAGAAGAGCTGCCCGATCACAAGTTAACTCGGCTCAAAGCCAACGAAGTATCTATTCTTCCAGTGTCTGAGCTATAATATCTCCAATGCCTAAAACAAATTGAATTAATCACAAGATAATTATTCAGTATAACAGACTAAAATAAATGTATTTTCTCATCAGCAATAAACAAGCTAGAACAGGTGGAGTCAAATATAAATCCATTTTCAAAATAAGCAATGTTTTCAACAGCTAAAGAAAAGATTTAAAATAAGGTCTATGACATTATCAATAAATCTTATCTTATGGTCAATATGGGGTAAGATACTAAGAGTAACATTGATTTCATTCTCCGTGCGGTCAATAGGAGTCAGAGAAAAAGTATTTCTCCAACTTTAAAAATCCAACGTAGTTAGAAACTTCACCATTGTTTATAATATATAACCATGTGCCTTATACATGCATTATTAAAACATGAAAATGCTCTGTATCACCTATCAGGTACAATATAGGCTCCAAGGGTTAGAATATCTGTATATGTAAGCCACACGCCATGATCACATTTTAGGTGACCCAACTCATGAGCCAAAACAATCTGTAAAAGGTAAATTGGAAAAATGGAAGTGAAGAATGTATTTCTCATGAAATTATTCATATATATATATATATATATATATATATATATATATATATATATATATATATATATATATATATATATCCAATAACATTCATGTTTAAGTCTAACTCCGGGAAACTTATTGCTTGTTTACTATTAAGAATGGGGAGAAAGCTTCTTGGATGCTACTCCCTCTATTTCAAAATGATTGTCGCTTAAGAATTTTGTACACAAATTAAGAAATGCAATGATGTTGTCATAATATATTACACTTTTACAAAATTAACTCTATTAATATATTGGAAGTAGTGTAGAGAGTAAAATGTAAATGGCACAAACGGAAAATTAGTAATCATTACTACATTGAAAATTGAAAATGACAGTCATTTTGAAACAAAATTTATTTGCTAAAACGACAGTTATTTTGGAACGAAGGGAGTATACTAGTTAAGAAATCGGTTTTAAAAACTAAAAATAGAACTACAGAATAAATTAGAACCTACAACTCTGCTCTTGTCAGAAGCTCCACAAGGCTAGTGTGAATAACAACAAACGGTTGTTTACTACT